GCAGGTTTTGATCCTGCTGGAAATCTGGAATCTTAATTCCATTCACTAGGGGAACAACATTATCACCCCCCATAAATCGCATCTAAAGGCTTCGGCTAAAGATGGGTGAGTTGGATCGAGGAAATTTATACTTTACATGGATTCTCAACTATTAATGGTTCTTTATGATTAAATAAATAAACGACACCAACCTGATTGCGGGATTAAAAAAAAAAAAAAACAATTATTAATTAAAAAATTTTTAATTTATTTATATATTTATTCCTATTTTTAATTTATATATATAAAAAAAATTGTATATTCTATTAATATTTAATTGATTCTCTATTAATCTTTAATATAACATTAATTTTTTTTGATATTGAATCAATAATATTGTTTAAAATTAAGATATTAAATTTTTGCCACTCTTTTTTTAAAACTATTTTAAGTTTTTTAGTTTTTGAAAAATTTTTTTTTTTAACATAGGAAAACTTTATCACTTTATTTATAGTAAAATTATTTAAACTTTATATACAGAAAGCAATAATATTTCTTATATAACTTAATAAGCTAATAAGTCTAATGCTAGTCAACCTATATACAACTATCTAAGTAGTAAATAAAACAAATATTAAAATTATTATATATTAAAGATAGTGCCGAGTAGCTAAGATCTCTACTCAAAAAAATTAATAGAAGAAAAAAAAAAGAAAAATTGATTTGATATATATTAATAATTAATAAATAACTTTTCATATCACAACTTCAACTTATGCAACTATAGATTCAGAAGAGATTAAATATAAATAAGTACTTCCTAGTAAATACTTCGAAACTGTTATTTTTGATTAATACTAACTACCAAATCTAGAGGCCTTAAGGCCAAGTGGGACGTGACTCCAAAATTTCCTAGTAGACATTCCAAAGGAATCGATTAACTTAAGTTGCCAAATCTAAGGGCAAAAATGCTAAGCAGGATGCAACTCCTATATATACAATATTCCATTTAAAAGTTATAATGGTACCATACGTTAGTATCCACATTACTGATCTCTTCAAAGTTATAAATAGATTATTAATATGTGATAGATTATTATTGTTGTTGTTATGATTTGTTATTATTATTGTTGTGATGATGGTGGTTAATAATGTGATTTTTATGGAATGTGATTAGAGGAAAAATATCTGTCAATCTTTTGGAGGGTAAACTGATTTTGGAGGGGTTTTTTTTTTGTATTCATATATATGAATAAAAAAGAAGTCAAACCAAAGGTCTTTCTCTATATAATATTCATTATCAAGATGTCTAGTCTTGATAAATCCAACCAAGAGTCCCATATTTATTCAACTTGAGTCTTTCCAATCAAACTCTTAAAATTGGCTTATGTATAGCAAGACTTAAGATATCATAGGTTTGTTGTATCAGTTTTGGCAGAGATAACTTTTTATTTTAAAGAAGGAAGAACTAGTTTTTTATCCAATAAGCCTAGGATTTGACCTTTCGCATGTAATATCTAAAACCATTCGATCTAAATCTCTTAGATTATAACAGGAAGGAGACAATTAGTAGTCTTCTCTAGAAAAAAATTTTTGTTCTCGATAGTGATAAAGGAAGAAAAAAAGTTTTTTTAAAAAAAAAATAATTTGACAAGAAATCCAAAAACTTGTCTTGTTAAAATTTCCTAAAAAGAAAGTTTTTCAAAAAAGTAAGGGAAACAGGAAAGAGTTTTTTTTTTAATGAAGTTTTTGGAAATTTTTTATATCTTTGAATATTATCCTTTAATAGTTTCCAAATATTTTCAATGAGATTTAAATTGGGGAAATTTGTAGGCCATTCTATAATCTTAATATTTTCTTTTTTAAACTATTCTTTAACAATTTTTGCCATATACAGTATATTAATATATTATTCTATTGAAAAATAGTATTTTTTTTAATTAATTCTTGTACTATATATTTAAAAGTTAATAAATATTTTTTTAAAATATCTAAATAACTAATTACAATTAATTTTTTTTCTTTATTTTTGTCACAAAATACTAATAATCCTTTTATTTCTTTTATAAAACATATTCAAATTATTACAGATCATCAACCAACTTTAAAAGTAAATATTAAACAATTAAGATTAAACCTTTCTCTTATATATTGTTAAACTTATAGCTATTGTGATTATTTTTCAATCTTTATATAAGCTTTATCTGAAAAAATAATTTTTCTTCAATTGTATATAGACAAATTTTTATATTTTTTGCACTATTTAATACAAGTGCATGCATGTTTTTTTGAGATATAAGACTTTTTTGTTGCAATATGAAAATAAAGCCCTACTTCATATAATATGTTTTTTATAGTTGATAAACTAAAAGTAAATCCCAAATTATTGATAATTTTGTGCAAAGGTACATGTCATTTTTTTGTGACTTCATTTATAAGTAAACTTTTGTTATAGTCACTTAGAACTTTTAATTTTCTTAACTGTGGTAAGTTTTTACTTTTTTCTGATTTTTTGTATTTTATAAAAAAATAGTGTATCATAAAGGAGTCATATCCAAACTCTTTTACTATTTTAGCAGCATTTAGAATTTTTGCATATGCTAAAATTTTTCTTTTTTCTAAGTTAGTTATTTGTGTATGGATATGTATTATTTTTTAATATAGTGATATTGTAATGTTGACAAATTCATGAAATAGTAATAAATATGAAAAACAAAGTAAAAAAGGAAAAAATTTTCATGTATAAAAAATTATTTATTTATTTTTTATACAAATTGTGCAATACTTTTTGTCATCTGTACTTTTACAATAGAATTAATAAATATAAGTAATATGTAGCCTAATTTGAAATAATAAAAAAAGAATATAACTTTACAAACCTTTAAAAAAAAACCATAGAAAAATCAAATTCAATTCAAATCTAAAACAAAATATTAACTTAAGAGTAAATTAAAGAAAAAAAAATGATTAGAACTAAAAAGCAGTTTAGATTTTATTTAGATAAACTATAGTAATAAATTGCAAGCAATAATCTTAACTTTCAATTTTACAAATAAATAGATATTAAAGAGAACAAACTTTTTTATCTCCAAAGTTACACCTAGAAACAATTTAAAATATATGTTTAAAACAGTAGAATAATTTATGTAATACAATGTACATATATTATTTATTTTCTGTAAAGATTTAATAAACATATGCACCTGTTTGACTATAAGAAAAATAATAATGAATAAATAGCAAAATAGATTGTAATGAAATTTTGTATTAATAATTGTAAATATTCATTTGAACTTGACAATATTAATGAAATCTATGCAGTGTTGATTATATTTATCAATAACAAAGACGACACCATTTATCATTAAAAAAATAATATGCTTTATAATACACATCTTTAGCTAACTGTAAATTTTTAAAAATTATGTATTAAACCTGTACCTGTTTTTATCGTCATCAATGTATAAATAAATTTCGTGTAATCCAATCCAAGTTTCACTAGAATACGTCTAAAAAAAAAGCCTTAAGTATATATCAGGGCTATCTAATTATAGTTAATTCGATCCATTCAGTACATCTGTAAATCAATCAATTAGAGCATTAATGTAGATACAAACTGCTCATCTCATCTAAAACTTTATTATATCTGAAATAATAACATCAACTACTATTAATTTGCATCCTTAACATAATTTATTAATCATCTTTCGTAGGTGGAGCTATATCAACAAATAATTTGTAATTCAGTCTATATTTTCAATGTTCAATCAAGTGACAAATTTAAATAACATACCAATAAATGTTCGACTGATTAGTTTCAAAAATTCATCAATAATAATGACTGGAATGGATATATATAAAACGGCTTGCCATTCAGCCCAGTTGAGTGGAACTATAGCAAATAGTTTCTACATTAAATAAAAAATAATTGAGTAAATTGTTACACGTCCATCTAGATAACGAATATGATTCCTTAATAATCTTACTGTAAAGAACGGGATATACAAAATCGAGAAATGTAAAGCCATTGAAAGAATTATCGATAGCACAAGGTAAATATTGTTCCATATAGGTAAGGTTAACAAGCTCTCGTTTTCACTAAGGGAGTTTGTGGCATTAAGCATTTCGATAGTGACTAGGACGGACAGTGACATCGTCGTAGCACGTTTAGCCATAATGTTGTTAAACATCTCGCAGCCGATTTCTGGGAATAATTCGTCGCACCGATGAAAGTTTGACTTCAGGGATTTTCACCAGAATTAGGATAAGCAGGTTGAAATAATTATCAATTATTCATAGTATATGAAATAAACTTACCAACTGATAAAATGATATTTGGGGTCCTTCCGAGTAAAATAAGAACCACCAAGCATAAGCAAATACAGTAGCTGCGCCTACATAAATGCCAACAATCATATACCGGAAAAATAACCATTTTCCAACGATTGGTTCTCTACTGTTCCTCGGAGGTCTTCTCATTATATCATGATCTGGAGGATTAAAGCCAAGTGCAGTTGCGGGAAGACCATCGGTCACAAGGTTTACCCATAGAAGTTGAACAGGTATAAGTGCTTCCGGCATGCCAAGGAGGACCGTCAAGAAAATACTGCATGGAATGATGAGAGATTTTCAAACATTAATAAAAAATAAATTTAGAATTCCCAACACAAATTATTTTACCTGACAACTTCACCAATATTAGAACTAATAAGGTAACGAATAAATTGTTTGGTGTTATTATATATTGAGCGACCTTCTTCTACTGCTCCTTCTATGCTTGCAAAATTATCATCTGCGAGAACCATGTCGGCAGCTAGTTTTGCAACATCTGTACCAGAACCCATGGCTATTCCAATGTCTGCTTTCTTTAAAGCCGGCGCATCATTTACTCCATCACCAGTCTTGACATTAAATAAAAATAAATTATTCGATTATAATTTAGACTTTAAAGAATTTTAACGGGCACATACCATAGCTACAACTTCGTTAAGACTCTTTAATATATCTACAAGTTCGCTCTTGTGAATTGGTTCTGTTCTTGAGAATAAGTTAGCACGCTTCACAACTTCTACCTTTTCGCTGTTCGATAAATCGTTAAAATCTCTTCCAGTATAAGACTTTCCAGTTAGATCCTCATCTTCTCCAAATACACCAATTGCCCTACATATGGCTTCAGCTGTATTTCTATTGTCTCCTGTGATAACGATCACTCTTATTCCTGCTGTTTTGCATTTATGGATAGAATCCGCAACTTCTGGACGTGGTGGATCAAGCATACCAACAAGACCGAGGAAAGTCATATCCCGTTCAAACTCAACAAACTTTGAGGATTCACTAAAATCCCAATCTTTCAAATTAGGACTACACCCTTCAACTATGGCAGTAGCAAGAACTCGCAAACCCTTTCTGCCATATTCCAAGAGTTTTTCATTCAACTTTTCACGAATTTTAGGAGTAAGCATAATCTTGGTGCCGTCAGTTGAAGAAGACAATCGAACATATAGGCAGCGATCTAATATAGATTCTGGTGCACCCTTGACAAGCAAGGTGGCAGTTGGCGAATTATTAATTTGAGCGAGGACGGACATTGATTTACGATCTCGCGAAAATTCAAGAGTTGCCAACTTATAAAATATTCAATTAATTAGTAAATTCCTGTTATAAAATTGGTCATATTTCACTATTACTTACGCGAGAAATCCTATTCTCATAATAATCATTGCAGGCGGTAGCGCGTGTTTTTGGTGAACATGAGCTTAAAGTGGAATTAAATGAACTGCTATCTGTTCCCAATTTTTCAACTAGAACTTTAAGAGCGGCCTCAGTGGGTTCACCAACGTTATTATAAGTCGAATTAATCTTTGTGTTTACGTTAAAAAAAGAGTTAGTTCAATCCTATGCGATAAACAGTTAATAATAATAATAATAATAAAAACCAACCTCATCATACGAAATACGTGCATCATTACACAGTACACAAACTTGTGCAAATTCATTAACACATGGATTCGTTGTGGGGAGAAAGTCTGCAATTTTTCCGTCAGCAGTCAATACATTACCGATTGGTGAGTAGTTAGTGCCATCAACATGTAATTCTTGAAGATCCGCCCGTTCAGTAGCAATAAATAAAACCTAAGACAAAATATTAAAGATTAACATAAAGAAAATAATATGATTTATTAATGATTAATTAACTATAATGCATACTCTAGATACGCTCATACGATTTGTTGTGAGGGTTCCGGTCTTATCGGAGCAAATAACGCTCGTACAACCCAATGTCTCCACAGATGGTAAAGATCTCACGATAGCATTCCTTCTTGCCATCTTTTTTGTACCAAGTGCCAGACATGTAGTGATAACTACTGATAACCCCTCCGGAATTGCAGCTACGGCTAAGGCGACTGCGATTTTAAAGTAATATATGGCTCCTTTAATCCAACCATGGTGGGAAGGATCACCGAAGTGATTGATGTTGATTATCCATACAAGAATACAAATGACAGAAATGACCTGTGGATCCATGATTTAATGTTAATTAAACTAATAAGCTTACGTAAGATTTTCTAAACAACAAACCCTTGCTAGTAATTCGCCAAACTCATCTAATTTGCGTTTCAGTGGTGTTTTTTCAGAAATTTGTTCTCCAAGTGTCTTTGTGATGGCTCCTATAGCCGTTTCAGAGCCTGTTTTAACAACTATAGCACGTGCTTTTCCAAGTACAACAGTAGTTCCCTATTTAAATTTTCATTTAATTAATCTATATTCTTAAACTTATTGAAAGTCGCATTGCTGAACCTTATTATTAATGGAGTACCGTAAAAAGAATGTTTAGCTGATCATGTTTTCCTGCCTTTACGTCATCAATTTTTTGGATGTCTTTGTTTACACTAACACTTTCTCCGGTCAAAATTGACTGATCAACTCTGAAGGCAGTAGAATATATTTTCAATATTCGAGAATCGGCAGGAATTTTATCACCAATAGATAAATCTATGATATCACCAGGCACAAGTTCTTCGGCGTGAATTTTGCTGAGATGACTGTCGCGTAAAACTTTTGCTTCATCAGGAGAATATTCTTTTAATGCCTTATTTTATTGTATATGCAAATGTAACGATTAAT